GAGACCGTGTTGTGGGCCCTCCTGAACTGGAAACCAGTAGAGGCGAAGGTCTCCCCTGGAATGAAGGTTCATTGCATTGAAATTAGTGAAAGCACTCTATATGCATTCTAAACAATCAAGTATGCCACCATGGTATACAAAATGCAGGGTTTTCAGGGAGCAATTTCAAAGGTGACTTTCACTTGATCATATTTACGCACCGATAATGGTGATTATTGATGCGACTCCTGTCAAAACTGGGAAACTGACCGAAACTCGGGTGGGTAGACCGCTGAAATTTTAGGAATACAGCGAACGATAGCCAGCAACATCAGTATGATAAGGATTGTTATATCAATATACTGAACCCAGCCAGTGGTGTCAGGTTGCAGGGCTATTCTTTATTTACAATTTATGACAACTTCCAGATTTACCATAATTGATGGTCTACCGGCGGTCCAGATGGCAGCAACCTACTCTAAAATAATTGCAAACATCAGTTTCGCAAGCTATTGGGGAGGAGGACAGACCGTGACGCCCCAAGCGGTTAACTGAACAACTACACGGATGGGGACAACAAATACAATGACGCAGCGCACGGCCGACATAACCGAACGCGGCGTCAGCGTTCGGCTGGAATTCGTGTTCTCCGGCGAGGGGGAGGAGGGCTCTTTTCTTTTCGCTACGGCCTGCATGAACAATGCAGCATGCACGATCCCAGCTCAGCACAAAAGCCGAAGTGGGTCAAGCTCGCATTCTCTGAAAATAGAACCGGCACTTAACGTCGCTTCGTCGATTGTTAGTATTTTTTTACATTAGACTGTGCCCCGCGCTCTATTGTAGAAGATGGCATGGCCATGCCCATAAGGCCTGTCGGCATGTGCACAGGCCTTGTGTTGAGTAAACACCGAGCGTGGGGAAAACAAACGGGTCAGAGGCCCTCTATAGTTCGATCTCCTGCCCAATAGTGCTATAATTTACACATATGAGTGGGTAGGCTGTGTATTTAATATAAGAAATTATCAAAGAAGGTGAAAAGTTACAAAAACTAACATTGCATTGGAGAGACGCCTATTAAATATATAAAAAAAAAAAGACAACCCCGTCGTAAAGCGCTAAAATGTATGATTAAAAAAAAAATACGCAAGGAAAAGCATTTTGCCACTTTTCTCAGGGTCAGTTTTGTTGCTTAATCGAACTTCCCAATGGGTCACTCATACAACTTTTCTTGACTGTATTTGTTTGACTAGGGCAAACCTTTTCTTTGATAGTTTGAGAAATAAAATGCGCTACTTAGACGTACTTTAGAGATAAATCACACTGTTATAGCCTGCGAAAGCGAAACTGAATTTTGCAAGTTATGTAATACCCCTGTCAGACTGGCAATTAAATGTCGGTTCTATCGAATGACAATTGAGCGATCGGCCAATCAGTGCGCGCGACGCTCCGGCGTGTGTAGGCGTTGTATGAGACATTAGGGGGGAAAGTGAAAGTCAACTGTGTTCGTGCACAGGACGCATTTGTCACATTGCACGCGCACAGCTGATTCGCCCATCACACAAATGCCATTCAATGGAACTGACCTTTAATTGCCAGTCTGGCAGGGGTATGAAGTTGGTTGCTGCCACCTGGACCGGGGATGTGCGAGTGCGAGCAAACATACCGTTTCCGAGATAAGCTGTCTAGTATGTTAGTACACCGATTTCTGCGACTTCTCACAGCGACATAACTCACCTGTAGCGAGGTAGCGGAGCGTGATGGCGAGTCTTTCGCCTGCCGGAATGGCTTGTCGAAACGGGGTGTCTCGCTTTACTATTAGTGGCCTCACTTTCCCCAGCAGCTCCTCAAAAGTGGCCGTATCCATTCTTATCCAGGAGCGGTACGACTCTGCGTCTTCTAGTGCCAGCTCGCGCATCAAATTCTCGTAGCACCCCTGCTCCCTGTGCTTCCTCAGGTGGGGTCGCATCCACATCCTCCGCTTTTTTGGAGGCTGGATGAGGTCGTCGTCTTCACTCGAGCTTAGGGCTTCTAGCAGAACTAGGCCAGCGAGAGCGAGCTGCCTCTCGCGACACGCCATGACAAAATCAACCCGCGACTTCGCGAATCAAAACCGCCAAAGCAGCGAGCGCGCGATCGTCCAAACGAGGCAAGACCGGAAGGATGCGCGTCGACGGGCGAGGAGAATGCTTGTCGTCGAGTGTAGTCTTTTAGTGGGACTGCCACACGGCGTCCGCGGCGCTACAAGTCAGACGACAAACAAGGTCTTGTCCGTCGTCGGACATTTGTCGATGGTGTCCGTCGCCACAGTGGGACGGGATGAGCGACAAGACACTTTGCCGTGTCGTCGTACAAAAGTTTGTCTTTGTCGCTCTAGTGGGACGCCGCTATGATGGATGTCGCTAGATGTTCGTCATTGATGCCTTGAGCAGCATACTCTGCGTTGAGCATCCAGTACGACGGGGCATTTCGAGATGAGTTTCAGTTTTGCTAGGGAATAGTTGACAAGGCTCTCTCCAGGCGACTGCCCCAGAGCGGTGACCTTGTGCTGCCACTGCAAAAGCGTGGGGCTGTCACCGAACAGAGCCTGGAAGGCGGCCTTAAAGCTGTCCCTAGTTAGGTACTAGCGTTCAGAAACATCTTTCCAGTTAGTGTCTGGGCTTCGCAGCTTGCCGAGCTTGCCGAGCGCGACTGTGAGAAGTATCGAGGGCTCCCAGGAAGCCAGTCCTTGAGTGCGCTCCAGCTGCTCAATCCAGTGGCGGGCCGAAATACCTCCATCGCCGCTAACTGTTGGAAGCGACGCGGACGAGTCCAGCAGGGTAGTCACCTGCACAGGGGGTGGTGCACGTTGAGCCACAGTCAGGAACTGCTGCAGCAAGCTTGTCAGTAACTGCGTGGACCGCACCGGGTCGAGAGTCGGGAGAGACATACTCTTGCGGGCCTTGTGTGGAGGCCGCCGAGTTAGGAAGAGGCAGAGGCGATGGCGGTTGGGGGTGGAACGGGGCGGTGTCTTCGGGCGATGTCGTTTAAGGTGTATCCACACGACGGACCAAATTGCTGTTTCGGTCCGCGGGCCGCGCATCACGTGATCTTACGTCACCGGTTTTCGAGGTCCGCCGGCGGTCCTCGACTCGCGCTTCTGAGAAATGCCAAGCGACTTTTCTCGCCCGGACCTTGGCGGCGGACCGCGGTGTTTTTAGTATAATTGAGGCGCTAAGTCTGGCAACAAGCTGACTTTTGTTGTTTGGATTGGAATCCTAATCCAAAGTCGTTTTCTTTTGGCGCCAACTGTTGAAGACGAAGAAGACGAACCTATTGTTGTGCGTGACGATGAAACTTCATCCCGCTCGTGGATGAAGTTTCACGCTCTGGTGGACGATAATTGCATGCCCTTTTGGGGTTCACTTAAGTCCTCCTCGTCCTCTATAGTCATTGCCAGAGCCACCGTGGCCAAACGTCTTTTTCGTTCAACCTCTATCTTGGCTCCTTACAAATAGCCTCAAAGCAGCTCGCTGCATGCGTTTGGTGGAGCTGTGAGGTCGAGGGTTATACCGGCCCGTTCACTGTGTCTTCTGCTCTTTTGGTCCGCCGTGTGGATGCTCATTGCAGCCGGGCGGCCCGCGGGCCGCGCATCACGTGATCAATCGGTCCGCCGCCCGGTCCGTCGTGTGGATACACCTTTAGGAGGCGGTGGATGACTTCCTCCTTGGATCCGGCGGTTCAAGTTTGCGACGAGACAACTCGTCGAGAAGGTACTCTGCCGTAAAGCCGGCGAGGTCGCTTGGTGTGGCTTCGGCCCAAATGACAAGAGGCAGTGCGGGCGGGCGGGCGGGCGGACGAAACAAGATATGGGACTCGCTCTTCGAGCGAGTTAGGCAGGCGGTCCGGGTGTGGCCTGCGGGTTCTTTTACATGTCGACTGCTCCAAATGTGAGGGTACGGATGACAGGGCGGTGTTAAACATTATTTAAATGGGTTTAATGAACGATGGCGAACTCATACGTCGGTAATGGCGGCAAAGAGAGAGATAGAAAATTGTTGAAAAGAAAGGAAGCCTGGAGTAAAGGAAGCGGCAACGGCACTTGCGGGAGCGTCGCCCAGTGTCCCCTTGTTGGGCCAGGCTTGCCTTTGTAAAACAAAACACGTCAGCAGATGGCACTAGTGATGAGAATGCTCACAATTTAATAACTTTTAAATCATTCGGCATGCCACTTTCAAGCTCCTTTACATGGTTCAAAACCTCGACAGCCGCTTCTGCCGTTATACCGACAGGCAGCGCGTATGACACAAGCCTGTAGTCTATAACCTGTGGCTTTGGCGAGTGCTTCTCTGGATGGTTTCCTAATCTTGCTTTCAGAGATAGCCCGCAGGCGACTGGATTGCTTTTATTAAACGCTGAAGCATTACTTTTTTGTGAAGAAAGCAGTGGTTCCTAAAACATTCGCTGAAAGCAAAGCCACACCCCAGAGTTCAATTTCCGCAGCACAGCACATTCGTTTTCGTATCTTCAGAAACCCAATCAAGAATGCCTCAGACGACAGAACAATTAAAATGACACTGATGAGATGGCTTTTATGGGAAGGGTCAATAGAGGGATTCGCTCTAGGTACGAGCAAGCGCATCGCTCATGCAATAACAAGTTCACGCATGTATAATATTCCGAGAATTTTTTAACCTACAAATTAGCCAGCTTCATTTTACACATTCGGCATAAACACACGATCGAAGTTCTCAGGCTAGGTTTATGAAAAAAAAAACCCTACTTTAACGCAATGGCGTTTTTATTGCTTTGGTTGCTTAAACAATCTTGCCAACAATCAATTATTTTCAAGATTAGTTTATTATCGAGCTGCAGCTAACAGTTACAAACTTTGGGCGCAATGAAATATTTATTCTTCTTACAACAATATCTTATTGCAAGGAGTTTCCTGCAGTTGTATTCGATTAACAATTAGTACCAAGTACCGCGAGGAAACGGTACCGCATCAATCTAAATTTAAGTGCGAATGTCACCCAACTTCAAAATCAGTCTTTACACTTCGTCTTGTTGTGGATGCCGGCCGTGGAGGACGCTGAGGAGTCCAGGGCAGGAGAATCAAGCAACGAAGAGGTTTCAGATCGAGATTCTTGAGAAGAATACTTTGGTAAGCGTATTTCACTCTCTTCATTTGAATCCGAAGTTGGCATCACACTCGAAACCAGATCTTGAAGAGACGATGAAGAATCCGAAAATACGCCTTCGATTTGGACATTTGACTCGAGTGGTGATTCTGCGTTCTGCCGCTTACTCGGTGTTACGAGTAATGCCTTGTCTATAGGCTCAGTCGGAGCACATAAATGAAAAGAGGTCATCTGCCGGCTAAACGACTTGGGTACATCCACCTCTTCTTGCCGACTGGAAGCAGGTGACATCCCGGGCGGTGAATGATGGTCTGAAGTTTGCTCTAACTCAATGTCACCGAAGGTCAAATCCTCGTACTGAGTTTCAGTGAGATCAGCGTTGACCTCAGACCTTATTTCCCTTTCATGTGACGAGTCGGAGCGTACACGGTTTCCAGGATGGGACACTGTACTGTTGTTTGGCGGCGGCACAGCGGTGTTGAAATCCATGATGAGATGCTGGTCCACATATGAATGATAGAAAGATTCTAAAGATGTAACTTTGCGAATCCTTGCTGATAACGGTTGACCCAGTGAACAATCGAGCCTAACGGTACTGCTTCCGAATGACTCGCCACTAGGGATGTCAGGACGTGCCGTCTCGCTGTCTTCTGACACTAGCGTGATCGTGTTTTCTAGGTGAGTCGCAATAAAAGAGTCAGGAAAAGAAGAAAAGAGCTCCACGGAGGACACCGGGGAAAGGCTAATGCAATTCGGCGTTTTGGAGTTCTCTTCCTGAGGTTCCGATTTTTCACCCTGTGCGAGCAAGTCCAGAGATACGGTAATCGGCGAGGCGGGAAGCGAAGGTATGGAGGAGAGACGCACTACTTCTGGGGAAACTCCACGGCACATCTCCCAAACAGATGGCTTCTGCGTGAGTCCGAGGAGGCTGGGATATCTACGAGCATCGCCGCTCGAAGCTCTGCTTAATCTACCCGAAGGGTAGTTGTAATAAAGTGCTTGAGCGAGCGCCTCCGGCGAGTTCATTTTAACCTCGTGAACCGCTTCGATCACCGCTTTTTTTGCCTGCCGCATTCCGGTCTGCTGGGTGGACTGGCGTCTGGAGCCTGAGGAACGTGAAGAGAACGGTGGAATCTGGGAAGACAATCCTGGCAACAAAATGCCGACCCGGTCTTCTGGGGGATGCTGCTGCAGCCCCGTATCTTGTAATCTAAGCGGCTTGGAGACGGTGCTTTCTGTGAACGACTGGTTCTCTTCGAAACAGGGCAAGCTATCGTGGATGCCCGTTGTCTGCCTCGTGATATAGTCATCCGACCCTACCGCATCGGGCCTCGATGACCTAGACTGATGATCAAAACAGGCCGCTGGAACCGTTGCCTGAGAAGCGGGTTGCTCAATCTTCTTCCTCATAATGTAACTATTCTCGTCGATAGTGCACGAAGGATCTGATTCGGAATGCGGTGACATCGCACGTTTTTCCCGGAGCAACAAATTGTTGCCCAGAATGGTGACATTCACGACGTCCTTGCTAGACTTCGGACTCGTGGAGACGCGGCGTCGCGGTCTGTTGCCTGTAATGGGCCAGATGTAGCCTGAGGCATCTTCGTCCTCTCGTTTACCCTCCAGTATCATATAGTCCATCTTTTTGTCCGTCAAGCCACATTGTGTATGCATGTTCAAATACGACGACGAACTTAGTGTCTGGGCGCTTGTCTCAACTCGAGTTAGCGTCGCACGAGGCGGTAGATGAGGTCGACCCTGGCCACTTTCTTTGCAGAAATCTGGGTAGCTTGATTCTGAAGAAATGAGTGAGAGCACTGTCGACTGGGATGCCGGCAACGAAAAACCACGAAAACCGAGGTCCGTACTTGACTTTCTCGCTGTTTCACTCGAGCTGTTCTCACTGTTTAACGACCCTGGTTCTGTACGCGAAGGTTGGATCTTTTCGTAGCCGAAGGTCGCGTCGTCTTTTGTGGGGGTCGTTTCTTCGGTACGGGACGAAGTGGTTATAGCTTCGCTGGCCTCGGCAGGGTCCTTTTCGGGTTCTAGTTCTGTCTCCGTCTGGGACTGTATGAAAGCTTCGTCTAGCGTGGTACTGCTGCTGTTCTGCTCGCAGGAGGAGGGCTCCACTTTGAGTTGCATTGAAATGATGTCGGTAGTGTTGCCATCCAACTTGTCCCTTCCTGTGGAAGAGAAGACAGTGTTAACGCAGTTAGTTACATCTACATCAAATCGGAGTGCATGGCAGAGTCGCTTCACAAAAGGCTCAGAACGCCATATGAGTACAAGATTGAATAATTGGAAAACACGCCGTTTGTTCTCAGCGCAATAAAAAATTGTGGTGGCTTAGCTCGGCTACGCCAGGGTATACGTAGCGTGAGCTTATGCGCATAAAATGAGAGGCGCTATCAAGCGGCTCCGGTGCAGCGTCAGACTTGGCTACGGCGCAACGGAGGCGCACGGCTGGGCACGCGGCGGCGCCAGTGCGTCTGCCGCGGCTATGACGTCACTCCTCTGGAATGCGCAGACCGGCGAGGCGGGCGCGGCGGCGGCTCCGGCGCGCCAGCTGTGCGCCGTGTGACGTCGCTGCTCCTCGCGCATCCGCAGCACGGAGCACGGCTTTTTATGCGAGCCACGCGAAACTGCTCAACCTCGGCCAGTGTAGCTGACGCTACAAAACAATACCGTGCGTCCACAAAGCCACGAGGAAATTTCTGCGACTGAACCTCTATAGCATTCAAGAAATGTTTGGATATAAAGTCTATGTAAAAAAGGTGATGCCAGTCACTTCAATAATCTTAGGTATGCGGTACGCTATTTTTCTGGTAATTTACAGGTCTTTTAACCAAGAAAAAGGGGGTGTGTTCTGTATTTGTCTAATTTTTAGTCTAACCTCAATGTTAATTTTTTTATTTTGCAATTGCTACTAGTTTGGGTTGTAGAAGCCAGTGCTTTTCTTTCTTATGCATGCAAAACAAGCCCGTTCGTGTATTTTTAAAGACGTTGAAGTTTGCCACAAAACGGGACGTCCTGACGCATTGAAATAACTGGCAGAACTTTTTTTTGTATTTCAACACCGCAGACTGAAGTGCCTGTGTCAGTATCAGGACAACCAAAAAAAATAAAAAAGCGAATTTGTTGTTGTTGTATTTAATAGTAGCCTACCTTCTGAAGTAGAGTCGTCTTTCTGCTGAGATTTTTCAACGTCCGCCATAGCTTCGGATAATGGCTTCTCAAACTCAACTCGTTTTTGAAGATCTCTTTGCAGCGATGACGGTGATGCCAGACTGTAAGCACTCGGTTTTTCATCAGAGGTGGCGGATAACATAGAATTTGTACCGGACATATTCTTAGACTCGATTGGCTTGGTCGTGGAAGTAGCTGGCTCAATGAACATTGACTTCGGCTCTGCAATAGTTGAAATACTCTCTGAAAGACTCCGGCTACGATCTTCCGTGAGCAATGGTGCTCGGTAACTTCCACTGTGTTCTGATGCGTTGCCCGCTTCTTTTTTAGTGACATTGCTCCTACTACTTCGTCTGTGCGACTCTTCTGCTTTTGCCGTCGGTTTCAAACCTTCACTGGCTTCAACTAATGTGGCGTTCTTCTGTCCCACTGCCTTTTGTTGCAGGACTGGTGCGGTTTTCTTGTCGACGCTTACCAGATCGCTTCCGACGACTGTGGAACCTTCTCGCACCATGGTTTTCGCTATAGATTCTTTGTCCATCCGGTCTGGCCACTGTCGTGTGAGTTGGGATTCCACGGGATCTGTTGCATCTTCCATTATCACACTCTGCTGGTATGCAGCTTCGCCGGGCAGAGACCGTTCATGCCTCTGTGGAACAACGTTCGCTGCTTGCCAACGACAGCCTTCGTTTGCGTCCCTGCCTACAGGACCTGGTATCATGATTTTCTTTTTACTTTCTTCCGTCTGTTCTTTAATCACTTGCAAGGGAACAGCGATGTCTTCTATCAGCGTCGCCGAGGGCTCTGTCAGCTGCGCAACAGGTTTATTCCCTTCGTTATGCGATTCTTTCAGTTTCGCTATCTCTGAGTCCTCGATGAATGATGTGTCTGGAAATGACGACGGATCTGCAATGTCAGCAAGTTCTCGTATGGTGTTTTTGATGGAGATGAGCTCGAGGTCTTTGAAGCTTGTCGACTGTCCGGGGGCTCGTCCTGACAACACGGGTGGAGAAGTGATGAGAGACAGTAGATCAGGTGTGTGGGCGCTGAACTTCAGGTCTGCGAAATTCGAAATTACGTGCAATTCTACATTTCCATTTCGAAATGAAAGTAGTTTCTCTGGATACACCTTTTTAAATGAAAAGTCCATCTTTTAATTTATACCGACACATTTTTATTGACAAAGGGATCAAATAGGTAATTTGAAATGATATAAAATGATCTGAACTTGTGACCCTACAACTGGGTTCTTAACCTGACTGAATGAAAATTAATAATGTTTTCAAAGAAAAAGGATATGTCACACCTTTTATACGCCTTCAAAGGGGTCATAAAATGAATTTTGGGCTGGGATAAATAATTTAATATAGGAATATTAATGATCGCATATAGTTTAGTGAGTCAAGAAATGGAGAGGGTATAAAGTCAAAGCCTGCTTTTCGGTAAAATATATATATATATATATATATATATATATATATATATATAGCGGACTATAGCGTACCTCGTTTCCTTGCAAAGCCTTCCGCCTTTTCACTGTCATGCATTCGTGGTACCCATAACACGTCAGCCTACCCCAGCTCACGTTAATCTAACCCAGCTCACGCATTAGAAACGAGCACTCCATCATACGAACGTGTGCTCTCGTGAACAATCAATCCGTCATCGAATACTTGGATTCGCGTTCGTGGCTAATGAGTGCCGTGTCGGCACTTATCATCACTGGCGAATGAAAAGTTTCATGGTGTGCTTAAAAAGGACGGAGGAAGCTTGAAGTAATTGCAACGGCGTCCAAGCACGTCACAACAGAGCACTATATAGTTCCTTCGGAGCAGAGTAGCGTAGAGTTCCTCGATATGCTCCCCCGAAGGGGGAGCAGAGTTGCGCATTTGTTTTCCCCGCGCCGCCACGCCGCTATTCGCCCAGATCCATCACGTGAGGAGCAAAGCATCCATGCCGTAAAAGAAAGCCACCTTTACGGTCGCTCCGCCAACGTTTGTCGCGCCCCGGCGTATGTTCCCCTGCTTTCGCCCTGCTTCTCCTCCCCTCCTGTTTTCCATGCGCGGCGGAGCGCGCGGCGCCGCTATTCGCCAAATTTAGTCACGTGAGGAGCAAAGCATCCTTTGCGTGCGGGAAAGCCGCCGCTACGGCCACTTGCGGAGGCTGAATGCGCAACTCTGCTACCGTAGGTAGCTATAGACCTTTGTGCGGAAGTGCTCTTTTCAGCCTCGACCGCAAGGAGCAAAAGCGAACAATAATCTCGAACCCAGACGCTCACGGGGAGGGGGGGCTGCGTCGGCCTGCGCCGCCGCTTCTTCGCTGGTGTGCTGACTGCCGTTCCGCCGGCATCGGTCCTGTTTGCTGCGGTATGTGAGTATAGTGCCCGTAATGTGAGAGCCGTGTGTCCATACGCCACTTTGCCGCTGTTGGTTTCCATCTAGCCGAGCCAGAAAACATCTCGCGGCGAGTTGACCGTGCCGCGAGTGACGAAGAAGAAGCAAACATGGCGACGGTTTGAGCGATTGCTTTGGTGGCTCCGGTGTTGAGTGTCTTCAACGTCCTCGTGAAAAGGTTCCCCTGCCCTTCGAAGTTATTGCAAGCACCACGAAAGATGTGGAATCATCGTCTCAACTGCAAATAAGCAGGCCTTCACGAGCAACAACGGTGCCGAGCAGGCGCTCGGCACAGTTGTGTCAGGCTCACGCAGCCAGCGGCACAGCTGTGTTGGTTGTGTCGTCAGATGTTCAACAACGCCGAGGTATTTTCATTTATCATTTGGAATGACTTCAAGAGTGGTAAATTAATCTATTTCGCGGATTGTTAACGCCGAGGCGACTGCCCTCCGTTGCAGTGCCGTCGTCGCGCAAAGTGCAGAGAAAACCGGGTGACGATGGCGGCGGTGCTCTTTGATCTTGCGCCGTCGGGTTCATGAAGTCCGGAGTAAACGTACGTACGTGCGTCTACTGGATCGGTGTTTTGGACTTCCTCAAAACATTCTCACGCGCATTTTCCTTGTGAAGCTTAGTAGCTCATTACACCTCATCGTCGGCTGCGCTCATTTGACTACGACAGACGAGCCTGCGTGATGTGAAATTCACTGCCTAAGATCCTTGGTGTGCTTTAACGAGGGCTAATAAAATATCACCGCGAACTTCTGAACAAACGAGTCAAAGTTTCGTCTGCTATCATAACTGATCGCCTGTCACAATATTAATCAGTAGCGTTCCTAGACTCCGCCCCCACAGGCACCGTGCTTCGTTGCCCGATAGTAAGTGTCTCCTGGTACCTCGCAGAATTCCAGCTCCCACTTCAAGTAAGTACCATCCTTTAGAACTGGCAATTAATAGTTTCGAACCCAGACGCTCGCTGTGTGTGTTTGTGTGTGTGTGTGGGGGGGGGGGGGGGGACGCGTGCTAACATACTCGGAGCCCTCGTTTACGCCGCTTCGCAGCGGCAGACAAGGCGCCACATTACAAAAGAAAGCTAATCCGAGCTGTCTATGTAACTAGACCCATTCGCTAGTCATTCGATGAAACGTCGTGGTCTCGTTTTCATTCGCTAAAACGGCGTTCGATCAAGTGAACGCCTCCCACTTATTTCGGCTCGGCAGAGCCGCGCTGCCGCAGAAAGGCAAGCAGATCGCGAAAATCGGTCTCAAACGTGCCACGAATGTAATGTCGTATAGAAGAAGCCAACAATCAAGCATTTGAAAGCTACAAGAAAGCGGTAGCGAAATATTTACTACGCGATGAACCCGGACTGAAACGCGGATGTCAAGGGTCAGCAGACACCGAAATATTTAAGACAAGAAAGGTTTTTTCTTGTTTTCTTGATCGAGATGGGTTCTCGAATGTTCACGACATCTTATCTGTTGAAGAACGGGTCGCGGAGGCTTCTGGTGAAGACATCGTTCACGATGTGCCGGTGCATCCGGACAGCCTGCCGCATCCAGCTCCCCAAAGCAACGCCGCCAACGCAGCCCCCCCCCCCCCCCCCCCCCCCTCCTGCCCGCCAGTTCTCTCCGCGTGGTGGCGCGAGCGTAGGTAAACATGGCGGCGCCCTGGAATTGGCGCGGACACTGGTCTATATATAGGAACTCTAGAGTAGCGCACTCTAGAGCGGCATCTCTCGGCTTCTGGCGGCGAAAGACCAGAGAAACTCTCGAGCAACGTGAAAAAATTGTTGTTTCTTCAAAATTGTGGGGATGAACGGAACCAAAATAGTTTCTGACATAATAAAGGAATATTTTTGGATAATTTGTGCTAAGTTGCGTGCCACGTAAGGACGTAATTTTGTTTTTCAAAATCGCCCGAGTGTCATCATGCAGCAGACGACGCGGCGACGTCACACCGTTCACATGACCCGCTCCGGCCAACCCAAAAAGCCCGTCTCCGCTGCGTACAAAAATCGTCTTCTTCAAACGCCAATGTCCTGGAAATCGCCTTCTCAAAATTTTCACACGCATCCAATACTATGAACACTTTGACAGAGGTATCAATGCTTTACCAACTTTACGGCGAACCAGTTTCGAAAAGTGTGAACTGGGCGTTTATATTTTAGTCAGCCGCGTTGCGTCGATCTCCATGTGATTTCCCATAGGGCGGGCCGCATCCTGGAACCGTGAGTACCTCGTGACTCGCGCCGAGCTGCTCTGTCGGCCATGTTGTCGGTAAAGCACGCGGATCAAACGATTGCGCTACTCTGCTCCGTAGGAGCTAAACAGGGTGTTTTTTTTTTTTTTTTTTAGTTGCACCAAATGTTCAAAAAAAGGGAACGTGAGATAGAGTAATTTAAGCCCTGATGAAGTGTTAATGGCCAGGGCGCCCTCTAGAAAAACCGTGAAATTAGATAATTAGTTAGCTAATTAACTAAAATGTTTTAACTAACTTCTTAATTTTTTACTTGAGGGCACCTAACGTAATATAGAATTGAAGCTCGCCCTCAATATGGTCCAACCCTGCCATCAAAGTTTGGTTAAAAAATTTGTAGTAATTGTTACGAGGTCAAGAAATGTCACTTTGGTACACGGCGTCAAACCTAAACTAAACGAGAAAAAGCGCCGGTAAAGTAATCGCTTCGCCCTTCCGGCCCCCGTGGATCGTCGTTATCGCAGCCAGCTTCGCCTAAGCAAGTATAGCCGGCCGCGATAATAACCAATTGCATGCCCGAAAGGGCGGAACGAAAACTTTACCGGCACTCTTCCTCGCTTAGTTTCGGTTTGACACCGTGTACCAAAGTGAAATTTCTTGACCCCGTAGCACCTACTACAAATTTTTTAATGAAACTTTGATGGCAGTGCTAGACCATATTAAGGTCGAGCTTCAAATCTCTAAATACATTATGTGCTCTCAAGTGAAAAATTTAAAAGTTAGTTAAAACATTTTAGTTAATGAGCTAACTAATTACCTAATTTCACCTTTTTTCTAGAGGCCGCCATGGCCATTAACACTTCCCCAATGCTTAAATTACTTTATCTCACGTTCCCTTTTTTTTCTGAAAATTGGTGCAGCTAAAGAAAAAAAAAAAAAATCTGTATAGTGGTCTAGTCACAACCCGGTGTGATTTCTCCGTTTCGCGTCCAAGTCGAGGATGAAAGCT